ATGTAGGAATTTGCCGAAAGAGAAGATGATTAGATGGATGTGTAGTGTGACAAGAAAAGGAGGCATAACCTTAGACAGATTAGAAAAAATGTTGTATTGAAAACATTTGTTAGAAAAGAATAACGTAATTTAGGTATCAGCATGTAGAGAGGTAGCAGCTTTAGTAGAAAATAGTAATGGTAGAAGTAAGAAAGCTTAAAGAGAGTGCCTTACATATTGTATGAATGAGCTTAGTTAAAAAAAAAAAGATTTTAGATTCTAGATTGTTTATATTAGAGAAACAGCATAAAAGAGGAAGGCTAAAGTCTGATGATGATGTTGATGATGATGATGATGATGATGATAATCATCATCATCAGGCTTTAGCCTTACATTTTTATGCTGTTGATAATAATAATGTTGATTATAATGATGATGAAGATGATCATCATGATCATCATGATCATCATGATCATCATGATCATCATCATCATCATGATCATCATCATGATCATGATCATGATCATGATCATCATCATCATTATCATGATCATGATCATCATCATCATGATCATCATCATCATGATCATCATCATCATCATGATCATCATGATCATCATCATCATGATCATCATCATGATCATGATCATGATCATCATCATCATCATCATGATCATGATCATGATTATCATCATCATCATCATCATCATAGTATGATGATTGTAATGATCATGTTGATCTAATAATGTTAATATATGTATATATCAGCGCTCAAAATAATTATACAAAGGTTGCGGATCAATATTGATTGGCTGAAATAAAAAAATTAAAGCCAGACAATCAAATCATTTTTTAGACTATCAATTTTTTATTAAATTTTACTAAAATTTAAAATGATATTTTTTTTTTACCTTACATAATCAAATTACTATTGCTGTTTTAATTTTAATTATTTTATTTAGAATTTAAATAAATTGTTTGTTTTGCCATTGTTGTTTTTTAATTTGTGTATTTAAAGTTTAAATAAATATTCATTTTGTTCTATTTCTTTTTAAATGTTTTATCTTGAGTATAAATAAAACATTGTTGTTTTTATTTTGATTATTTTGTTTAAAATTTAAATTAACATTAGTTTTGCCATATTTATTTTAATTATTTTATTTAGAATATAAATAAACTATTTTATATAGAATTATAGTAAAATTTTGCCTTTTTTTTTTAAGTATTTTATATAAAGATGTTCGTTTAAAATAAAATATAAATTAATATTTGTTTTTGCCGTTTTTATTTTAATTATTTTATTAAGAAAATTAATAAAATGTTTGTCTTGCTTATTTTATTTTACTTAGAATTAAAATAAAATTTGCCTATTTTTTCAAAATTTTTTTATTTAGAATATAAATAAGTTGTTTGTTATTAAATCAAAATAAATTGAATTTAAAATATAACTCATTTTAATTTAATTTTGATGTTGATTTAATATTTTTAACTTTCTGTATTTCAAATGTTTTTCTATCAATTATTATTAAAGTTTTACGACCAATTACTGTCAATCAGTTTTGATTGGCCAGATTTAATTTTAGTAGATCAAAATGTCAATTTTTCTAAAAGTAGCCAATCAACAATTGCTATTTCAAGCGAACTAAAGATAATTTTTGAGCGAATTTAGAACAAACCGTGATCAGAAGCACCTAAGGTTGAATGTGGAGAAACTGAGCACTGACTAGGATTAGAAACAAGACATTAGTCAAGTAGAGAAGGTAAATAATTTGGATTGATGCAAGTTGGACCTTGACAATACACACTAAATGTACAAACAAGTGCACCATCCTTCTGTCTTGTGCACCATTGTCATGTTACACTGTAACATGACACTGTAACATGTCACTGATACTTTACAGCTTTCGATATAATCAGCCTCTCTGAGAGCTACCACAGAGATTAGGAGACCTGACTACTACCAGCCTCAGAACCATTAAACTGAGTTTTAGAGCTGTGGCCTCATTATAAGATAATAGAATAAGTTGTCTAGTCATAAAAAACAGAGGCAAGCACAACCTATGCCTAGCAATCTAGCATTCAACATCCTAAACTGGAAACAATGTTTTATAAATACATCTATTCCAGCCTAATAAATAAGAAGGGGTGTAAAGCTAGTTAACACATAGAAAATGTTTACCCCTTATAATGATAGAATGAATAGATAGATCAGGGAAAAGTTAGTAAAATTTCTTTAAAAAAATCAGAGAAAATAAGGTGCTTATATTCTTGAACTAATGTGGCAATCCTGTATATGTTATCTGGATTTATCTTGGTCCTCAAAATTATTTATTTATTCAAAATACTTTTTGTAAGTTTGGTAATACTTTACATCCTTAGAAATTGTACATTTTACTGAAGGAGGTCCAATATAATAGCTGCAAATGTTCTAGTTTCCTGTTTACTTACTTCAAACTGTTACAAATGTAACAGTTCTAGAACAATGTTTAGAGGTCATTGTATTGGCTCATTAAGGAAATATTTTGTTCCCTGTAAAAATTTTAATTAAAATAAAGTTATTATATTTACATTACTGGAGAAAAACTTCACTTAAATATGAAAGTGAGTGTCACTAGTAAAGTTAATATGATCAAATTATAAAAGAAACAAATAATAAAATGGTACAAGTCTAATAAAAAGTTTATAGACCTTATAGATTTAAAAAAAACATAAACTTTATTTCTCTAGTTCATACTGTGCGGTTCATGTGATCTTCTTCTGTGCCTTTTAAAGAGATAAAAGCATACTGGCAGATGATCCAGTATAAAAAATGGATAAAATTATATAAACCATGAATGAATGACATACTAGAGTTGAGACTATGAGCGAATGACATACTAAAGGAAATTTAAGGAGTGTTGAAATAATTTGACTATGAAAAAGAAAAAGTTGTAAAAGTTTTTTTGATCAGCCTATTCCTATACAATGAGTCTAAAATTTAAATCTCCGAAAAAATCTGGACTTCACTCAGGAGTAACTGCCTAGCTTATCACATATGAACTCATAGTTAATTTTCAGTCTGGTGATTTCATGAAAAGACAATGATATACATTGACTGAACTGTCCTTCATTTTTATACAACATATTGATATGAACAAATATTGATATGAACTCGTAGTTAATTTTCATTCTCCTAATTTATCCATGAAGTTATTTTTTTCTTTTTTCTAACTTCGTGAAGTTAGAAAAAAGAAAGAAACTGAATTAGAAATACTCACTAGAACAATAGAAGGTTGGCAAGGAGAGGTTTGTTTTTTAATATAGGTTTTTAATCTTGACACACAAGTAGAGGTTTTATAATTGTGTTATGTTATGTGTGTTAAATAGTTCAAATAAAAACAGCCCAAAAAAAACATTTTAAAAGTTGTAGAATATTTGAAGCCAATATATGTATTATAATAGAATATAATTTGTATTATAACGTCATCATGTCTAAAAAGACAATGATATACATTGACTGAACTGACTTTCATTTTTCTGGAGCATTGTTTATTAATTTAAAGTTCCATTGAATTTGTTTGCTGACTATTTGTGGTCAACGGCTACTCTGAATGGCAATCAAGAAACCAATAAAGGGAGTTCAAAAAGCACTTACAAAGCATAATTTGCAGAATGGTTATTTGATTTTACAACTAGAACAAAAACATTGTTGAGTTATGATTTTAAAAATTATTAAAAAAAAAATTTGTAGTCGATTTATTATTGTTAACCTTATCATAATCAATATTTTTGTATTATTTTTCTTATATGTGAATTAATTTTTTTTACTGAAACTATCTTAGTTATTGGAGATTCAGCAAATAAAAATGTTGATTAAAATTGTTAAAAAAAAAAGTTAATCTTTTTAGAGTTTTTTTTAAACCAAAATGGCCAGGCATATAGTCTTTTTTTCAATTTATATATTTATTTAGTTACTTAAAATTTGGATGTTCATTTTCTCTGAGTTATTTTCTTTACATCTCTCTTACATCTTAATCTCTCACTGAGTCCTCTTTACATCTTCTTGAATTATTATTTACTACTAACCTTTCAAACTATATATATACAATGGATTGCTAAATAAGCATCTGATAAGGTTCTTAGTACTAGGTTCTTAGTAGTAGGTTCTTAGGTAGCTTCTCTTTATCATGCTCGCCATTATCTTACTCCTGATTCTATTTTTTATCTACAAATCTTTTATTTCTTCCTGCTCAGAATACTGTTGTCATATTTGGGCTGGTATCCTAATGGCACTCTTTCTCTTCTAAATAAGGTCCAAAAATGTTATAGTTGTTATAATGTAGTTATACCTGCTTAATCTGCCAAGCTTGAGCCTCTCTCCCATCAAACTTGAGCCTCTCTCCCATCATTCTAAAGTAGTATCATGGTTGCTGCTCAAAAGAGTTATCATCTCTTGTTCCATCAACCAAAACTCATTTTTGCTTGATCTATCATTCAGGTAAGTCCTATCCTTTTACTGTATCTGAAAATATATGACCTAAAAATTTTTTTTTGTGTAGTTCTCTCTCCCCCCCCCCCCACTCCAACCTTTTTCAAATCTCTTCCTTCTTTATGTTTTCCTGACTCATACAACCTGCAACTTTTCAAGTCTTCTATCAACTGTTTCCTTGCTCTTTAGCTCTGTTTTTTGACTTAATAGTGATCGCTTAGTAACTTAATAGTGGTTGCTTACAGCTTTGTTGAGAGTGAATCAGAATAAATTTAAAAAAATTTTCAATTGATATTTAAACATTTTAGAGTTCATTAAAAAGTTGGTGTTATTTTAATGTTCAATATTTTCCCTTTTGTATTAAAAATTTTTGAAGCACAAATATTAATAAATGGATTTCGAAAAATGTTTTTTGGTTTGCAATTAATTTTAATTAATCCAATTTTATGAGATTCAATTTGAAAAATATATATATATATATATATATATATATATATATATATATATATATATATATATATATATATATATGTATATATTTATAATACTTTAGGTTAATCTTTGGGACACTGCTGGATTAGAAGTTCAAGGATCTATGACAAGTAGCTATTACCGATTGAGCAAAGGGATTATTTTGATGTATGACGTAAAAGATCGAGATTCTCTAAGTTCATTAAGGATGTGGATAAATGATATAAATCCTTACATTAACGAACATACAACTTTTTTTTTACTTGGCAACAAAATTGATAGTTTTAATACTGAAATTGATGTTAACACAAAAGACGCTGTCAATTTTGCAAGAAACATTAATATTCCAACAGATCATGTTTTTGAAATATCTGTTAAAACAGGTGATGGCTTTGAAAATTTTATAACTTCTGTGGCAACAATACTTAGTTGTGAAAAAAGTCCATTTGTACCTGATATCAATAATGTTAACCTAGGTGATAATCAAAGACATCCAAATAACTGTTGTAATTTATATTGAAAAAATTTTTACTATGTAACTTTTTGAAATTTTTTTATACATTTTTGTTATTATTTGTTGAGTTATCATTTTTTGTTCGTATCATTAATATTTTTAGTAAAGAGATTCTATTTTTGTTATAGTTGTCCTTATTTTTATTATCTTGTATCATAATATATTTTCAAAGTATTTAAAATATCTTTAACTTTAGAGTTAATTTTTACATAGTTTGCTGTAAATATTAAAAAAATTAAATAACATTGTTTTCTGATTTTTTGGTCTTAAATTTTTATAAAAAGTTTATAAATTATAAAACATAAAATTTATAAATTATAGTTATAAATTATAAAACATTAAATAAAGACTAAATTTATTCTTCTCAAAGAATCTAACATCTTATATTTAAATTATTACTTAGACTTTTTTTTATTTATTGATATTTTATTTTTATAATTAAAAATTTTACAGCGTGTATAACACTAGTTATTTAGGGATGTATATATATATATATATATATATATATATATATATATATATATATATATATATATATATATATATATATATATGTTTTTAAATTAGAATAGAATTTTTAATGGAATTCTGTAACAAAAAAAATTTAGAAAAACATGTGTTTTTTAAACATTGATTTTTAAAACATTAAAAAGAACTTCATTGTGTTTAAGATATAATAGAATATTACTTCTCTAACGTTCTCAAAGATGAGATAAATTGTTTTCATATTTTATATAATATATTAGAATTTTAAAAAATGTATACTATTTTATATTAATAATTTTAATTTAGTATTTTTAACATTTAAAAGTTACATTTTTATAATGCAAAAATATGAGAGGAAACTTTGCATTGGCAGGCTAAGCTATTTGAATCGAGCAACTCAATCGTGGCATTTATTTTGTGATAATGATGATGTTACAAATATTATACTTAATAATGTTAATACAATTTCTATTATGAGTGAAAAGGTATGTTACAAATATTACACTTAATAATGTTAATACAATTTCTATTATGAGTGAAAAGGTATGTTACAAATATCATACTTAATAATGTTAATACAATTTCTATTATGAGTGAAAAGGTATGTTACAAATATCATACTTAATAATGTTAATACAATTTCTATTATGAGTGAAAAGGTATGTTACAAATAGAAATGCTTTTAATTTTTCGTTTTGAAAATGATAATCCCATATCATTTGTTCACCAAATATCATTTTCTTAACTAAAAATTTTTTAGTTCAGAATATTATGGGATTTCAAACTTTTTTTTTGTTATTATTAAGAGTCTTGTAAAAAATTTTAGTATATAATTTTTAAAATTAATTTAAAAATATAGTTAATTAAATTTTTAATTTTACTTTAAATTTATTAAAAGTTTTAAGCTGGTTATATACACAGTTGTTTAAGGTTGACTTGTTAAAATATTATGGTCTGCTACTGTAGGAGTTACTGTTGTTGTTTCAACTCTGTAAGGGTTTTAGTTTCATAGACTGAAAATTTATGTTTGGGCATACAAGATGTATAGGGAAAAAAAAAACAGAAAATAATTTATGTATTATATAAATATTTTAAAAATAATTCTAAGAATTTGGTGAAATTTTTTTTTTTGTTTAATTCTAAGAATCTTTTAAAAATTTTTTTATTTATTGCAAAGAGAATTAAGAAAATATATAATGTTTAGGATCAAAGTATATATGGCACAATCACCTTTTCTGGTTTCCTTAATTGTCAGCAACAATCACATGACTATTTTCAGCTTCAAACAGCTTCTGGATTGTATGCGTTGCAAGTATTAAGTCCAAAAGATATTTCCTTTGTCAAAACATTTTTTACAAATCTTTCAAATCAACTTGAAAATAGCGGTAAAATTTTTTTTTCCTATTTAATTACAAAATTTAAAAAAATTATTTTTAATTACAAACAAATTATATGATTATATTTAAATATGCAAACTGCAAAATTTGTTTTTATAGCAACTAAATACATATAGTTAAAGATATTTAGTCCTTTTAATGTTTAAATTTGCAAATAAGCTGAAAATTTTGTTTTGATTTGCATCTAAATACATATAGTTCTTTTAAAATATTTATGGGTTGTTGTTGCAAGGGAAATATCTAATGCTATAACTATGAGTGTTACATGATTTTGAATTCTCCCAATAAATAGTAAATCTGAGTGCAAATGCTGGTAACCAAAGAGACAGGTTTTATGTTTTGTCAATTGAAACTTTTTGTATTCAAGAGTATTTTTTTTTTTAATAATAGAAAAGAGTTTTTGTTTTTTTTAATTTAAACAAGGTGCGAAGAGTCTTAAATGGGGTAAAGAAGTAAAAAAAAATATTCTTGAGTCTTAACCCATTAGAGCATTTTAGAGGCATGTAACAAAAGTTTTTTTTTAAATCAAGACTATTTGTTTTATAAAAATTTAAAAGAGCATTTATAAGATTTTAGTTAAAATAATTAGGGTCACAAATGGGACAAAGGATAAAATTCAGCATTAAATTCAGATGCCCATTACAAAAAATATATATATACTAATTTTTAAATAATTTAAACAAAGTTTAAAACAACAAAATCATTTTAAAACATTTACAACATTTTAAAATGTTTAATGGTTAATAGTTTAGTTAATGGTACATAGAAATGTTTTATTGTTTGATTAATGTTACATAAAAATATTTATTTGTTTATTTAATGGTACATAATCCAACAAAAATCAAATACTTTTTTATCTTACTTTTGAACAGTATGTAAAAGTTGACTTTAAATTAAACTCTTCTTCCATTAAAAGAAACTACAGAGTTGTTCTTGATGTTGAGTATACTCTTCTACATGTTTGAATCTATTTTGTGAAGGTTTAAATTTAGAATTAAATCTTTAGACTGTTTCGCAAACTGACTTTGAACTGTTCAGAAAACTTGGGTGATAGGAATATTGGGCAGATAGGAAGTTTTTTTATTTACCAAATCCTAACTTTTACTTAGTCACAAGAGTTTGACAAAAAACAAGAATCTTTTTCTATTTAAAGTCTTTCATACACTGAACCTCTAAGTTGAGAAATCACGCTGTTAAGCAAATTGACTTCCAAAGTCAATTTGCTTAACAGCGTGGAGACTTTGTTTTAAATTTAAGAAGAGTATATTCAACATCAATGACGACTAGTTATTTTATAATTATTTGGTGAAAGGTAAAAAATTATTTTTTTTATGATTTAGTTTACATTGTTACTCTTTTTTTTTTTTTTTGAATGTTTTTGCGGAGCAACAGTATTGATTGCTATTTTATTAAAATTTAACATATAAAAGGTAAAACTTAGCCACACTTATGGTTGCAGTGTCATTTTAAGCTGTAAAAAATAAATACGATAATAAGCAAAACATAAAAGTTTCATTTTGTTACTTAATTGTACAAAATTATATGCATCTTTTTTGGGGTTGGTTAGGACAACAGATGAGTGGAACATAATACACTGTTCTTTAACATGTAAGGAAGCAAAAAAACTTTTATGGATGTAGTCGTTTTCTGTAGCAGTCATATTCTAGTTTGTTTTTTTTTATTTGCATTCACTCTCAACAAGGCTGCAAGCAACCACTATTAAGTTGAGGTTTACTAGGAAAAAAAAAGAACAGAGTTATAGAGCAAGGAAACGGTTGACAGAAGACTTGAAAAGTTGAAGGTTGTATGAGTCAGGAAAACATGAAGATGGGAAAGAGTTCCAAAGGATTGAAGTGCGGGGAAAAAAACTAGATGAATAAAAGTTTTTAGAGCATGCAGGGACAGATACAGTAAATGAATGAGACTTAGCTGAATGACGAGTAAAACAAGAATGAATTTTAGTTGATGGAACTAGAGATGATAACTCCTTTGAGCAGTGACCATGATAGTATTTGTAGAAAAGAGAAAGAGATGCAACTTTATGACGATGGGAAAGAGGTTCAAGCTTAGCAGATAGTCCAGGTCCAACAACATTTACAATGCGTTTTTGGACCTTGTCAAGAAGAGAAAGTGCATCGTTAGAAGAACCAGCCCAAATATGACAACAGTATTCCATACAGGTACGAATAAGAGATTTGTAGAGGTAGAGAATGGAATCAGAAGTAAGGAAATGGCGAGCACGATAAAGAGAAGCAACATTAGCAGAAGCTAATTTAGCAATCGATTGTATATATGGTTTCCATGAAAGGTCAGTAGTAAGCGATAATCCAAGAAGACGTAAAGAGGAGGACTCAGTAAGAGGATCGCCATTCATTAATATAGGAATGTTGACCATATTACGGTAGTTGTTTGCAGTAAACAACTGGGTTTTGTTAGAGTTGAAATTCACAAGCCACTGTGAACCCCAATCTATTACTGAAGTGAGAACAGATTCAAGATCAGCTGCTTGTTCTAGGGTTCGAAAAGAGAAGACTTTTTGTCAAGACAGGAGTATAAAGTTGAGTCATCAGCAAAATGAGCTACTTTAGATGAAAGGTTGTCAGGAAGATCGTTTATGTAGATAAGAAACAAAACAGGGCCCAGGATGGAACCTTGGGGAACCCCAGAAGTTAATGGAAATAAAGAAGAGTGTTGGCCTTCAAGGATGACTTTAATAAACCGGTTAGAAAGAAATGATTTGATAATCTCAAAAACTTTCCCAGAAACACCATATGAAGCAAGCTTAAGGAGAAGACCAGCATGCTAAACTTTGTCGAAAGCTTTAGATATGTCGAGAGCAATAGCCCTAGCCTCACCGCCTCCATCTAATGCACGATAAAAGCTTTCAGTTACAGCAGTTAGCAAGTCGGCCGTAGAGTGAGAGGATCGAAAACCGTATTGATCGTCTGACAGTAGTTTATTTGACTCAAGATGAGATGTGAAGAATTTGTTGATCAAAGTCTCAAAGACCTTGCTAATAATAGAAAGAAGACTGATCGGACGATAATTGGAGGGGTCAGAATTTTCTCCAGAGTTTTTGAATATTGGAACCACAGATGCCATTTTCCAACAAGCAGGAAAACAAGACTCAGTCAAACACTTGTTAAATAGTTTAGAGAGAATTGAAGAAAGTTCTGGAGAGCAATTCTGCAAGACTGTGACAGGAATGTTGTCTGGACCACAAGCTGTAGGCGAGTTTAATTGAGATATGACTTTAGCAACAGAAGCCGGAGTGATTTGAATGTCTAACAATGGGTCAACCTGTTTGACTGGAATGGGAGGAAGAGAATGTCCTTAAGATTCAAGAGTGGAGTTAGAAGAAAAGTTCTTTGCAAATAGTTCTGCCTTATCCTTAGGAGAGGTAATAAGATCAGTCCCATGAATGAGAGATGGAATGTTAGATCTACCCTTGTTAATAATGCTGTTGAAGATTTTCCAAAAGTCTTTAGTCCTAACTTCTGCGATAAGATGCGAGATTTAGTGAACTGAGAATAATGGAGTTTAGCATCAGAAAGCACCTTTTTACATCAATTTCTTGCAATAATAAATAACCGTTTGTTCTCAAGAGAGTTGTTCTTTTGAAAAAGATGAAAAAAATGATTACGATTGGATATAGCAGCCGCACAAGAAGGAGAAAACCATGGAGTAGAATGAGGCTTGACTTGAAACCGACGAGAAGGAATAAAAGCTTCATTGTTACAACATTGTTTACAATGTTGCACATTGTTTACAATGTTGCACATTGTTTACAATGTTGCACATTGTTTACAATGTTGCACATTGTTTACAATGTTGCACATTGTTTACAATGTTGCACATTGTTTACAATGTTGCACATTGTTTACAATGTTGCACATTGTTTACAATGTTGCACATTGTTTACAAAGTTACACATTGATTACAATTTGGTTGCTATGGCACCTAAATTTACATGGCAAGAACCTATTATATTATTTTTCAAAAAGTTGTTTTAACTGTTTTTTATTTGTGCTATTTACACTATATTAAATGTGTGTATTAAAATGAGATTCACACTTCTTATGAAAGTCATATTTTTATTTGGTTGCTTTAGATATCTAATTTTTTTAGTTATTCTCACATAATAACAGTATTAAATGCTTTTAACATTTAAAAGCTTAGCCACAGTTATGGATGTTAATGTCATTTTAAACTGTAATAAATTAATATTAGAATATCATAAAAGTTTAATTTTATTATTTAAATGTGACACTCAACCCAAAATATGGTTTCTTTATGCATGTATGTATGTTTTATAAATAGTTGATGTATTTCAAATTGTCAATGTTTTCTTGCACTATTTTTTGTTTTTTATTGTTAATTACCTAAATCTTTACTTAAAATTAATTACTTTAAAATTCAATTGTTATTTAAAATATGAAGATTGAAAATCTGATAAAAATTTATTTGAAAGTTCATGTACCTCTATGTAACTAAGGAAATCTGATTATTAAACATTATAGGTATCCATAGCAACTAAAAAAATTATCAATTTTATATAAAGTGCAACTTTGTCAAATTTAGTGAATATAGCACTTGTAAAAAATCTGCAACTATTAAAATAGGTTGTTGCTGTGTTACAAAATTAGGTATTCAAAAAAAAAAAGGTATCCATAGTAACCAAACTATAAACTATCCCATTATATGAAGCGCAAACCACATATTAATGCACAGACTAATTATAGTGAGTATAGCCCACATAAAACATCCACAACTACCAAATATAGGTTTTGCAAAATTAGATACCAAATATAAAGTATTTCACCTTCATTACAAGTGTGAACCTCATATTAATGCACATACTAAATATAGTGGATTATTTATTACACATAATAAATATGCTACTACCAAAAATAGGTTGTTGCTATGCAAAATTAGGTATCAATAGCAACCTAATATAAAATTATCATTTTCATAATAGTACTTATGCCAATTTTAGTAAATAAAGACCTAATATTTAATTAGTTATTCATTTTGTTCATTTAAAGTGAATTCTGGCCCACTGTGTGCCGTTCTAAAGCAAGATAAAAAAAATTGATTATGGTTAGATTATTAACCACAAATACATTAATATTGTAAATATTTTAAAATGTTTTTTTTTATTTAAATTTTGTTTAAGTTATTCAAAATTTAGTTACATATATTTTTTGTAATGGACATGCTTAAATTGAAGGGCTTTATCATTTTTTTTTTCCAATTTTATAAAGATCCTTATCATTTTTTTTTTTAATTTTTATAAATGCCCTTTAAAATTTTTTTTGAACAAATTAATATTTTGTGAAATTAATATTGCATAATAATTTTTTTTTAAATGCTTAATAAATTTTTTTTTCTAATTTGTATCTAAAATACTTAAATGGTCCCCCTCAATTTTACCCTTTTGCCCCATTTATGGCTAATTGATTTGTTCCAAATTTATAAAAACTCTTTTCTATTATTACAAGACAAATTCTTTTGATTTGAAAAGGTTTCTTTGAGCAACACAACATAAATCTTAGCAGTCACTTTGTTACCAGTGCAGGATGTTGCATAGGATAGATTTAAATGAAAGTTACAAATTTTTTTTTTCTGGGGGGAAAAAAAAAAATTTCTTATAGTTTATAAGCTCATATTAACCTATGAACATTAGTATTCTTGATTTGTATTGTATTGATAGAAATATTCCATTAGTATTTATAGAAATATTCTAAAGGTATAAAAAAGATTATTGTTGATATTAAAAAATTGTTTAAATTATAAATGTTTTTGTTGATTTTTATTATTGGGCAAACAAATTAACATTGTCACTTTCACTTGGATATTAAAGCATAACTCTTTAATTTTGTGGATAAATTACTGAAAAAATCAAACTTTGTCACAGTGTTTTTATCTAAACTTCGTCAAGCAAACTGTGATAAAGTATGAATAAAGACATTTGATTTTTCAGCTAAAATCAAACTTGGTTAGAGTGTTTTTATTCAAACTTCGTCACAATATTTTTATTCAGACTTTGTCACAGCGTTTGTATTCAAACTTTGTCACAGTGTTTTTATTCAAACTTCCCCAGTGTTTTTATTCAAATTTTGTCACAGTATTTTTATTCAAACTTTGTCACAGTGTTTTTATTCAAACTTCGTCACAGTGTTTTTATTCAAACTTTGTCACTGTTTTTATTCATACTTTGTCACAATGTTTTTATTCAAACTTAGTCACAGTGTTTTTATTCAAACTTTGTCACAGTGTTTTTATTCAAATTTTGTCACAGTGTTTTTATTCAAATTTTGTCACAGTGTTTTTATTCAAACTTTATTGCAGGGTTTTCATTCAAACTTTGTCATAGTGATTCTATTTAAACTTTGTCACAAAATATTTGCAAGTAAAAATGCTTTAAAAATAATTGCAAATAATAATCATCCAAGTTGCAAATAATAATAAAAAATAATAATCGATTTAAATAACAACAAGCTTTATTAATTCATTTTTAAAATAAAAATTGATTTTGAAATAAAAATAGTAGTTTTTTGGATTTTAAATTTTTGAATTAAATATCTGATCTGATAATCTGCATTAATTCTAACCATAAACTGTATTAACAAAATTAGCTTGACTTATTTAAATAATGACCAATAGTGTCAATTTTTTTAAATTTAGAAGTTTTTTAGTTAAGGCAGGTTTAAAACCTCTGTTATCCTTTTTTTTTTCAAATATTAAATAATTATTTTGAAACATTTTGGGATAGTTATGAGCTTGTAAAATAAATATTTTATTATCTCGTTATACTATTATTTGGATTTTTCCAAAGAATCGGGCTAGTATTATAATTGTATTCCCTGATTTTGCTTGTGCTTGTCTCTTTGGACTTTATTATTAGGTTTAGTATTTTCATAACAAGATTGGCATTTTTATAATTTTTGTTATTTACTTGTATATATAACTTATTTAGTTGCTCAGGAGATATCTTTGAAGCCAAATGGTTCATTTGTAACTATGAAGTCTGACGATCGTATTTATAGTTCACTGAAATTTCAAAATGAAAGTAAAACAGAGAAGCAGGTTTTGACCAACAATCAGAGTTTATTAGAAGAGCAGGTCTTGTGCAGCAATCAAAATTCATCAGAAGAGCAGTTTTTAAGCAATAATCTTAGTTTATCAGAAAAGCAGGTCTTGACCAGTAAACTTGGACTAACAGAAAAGCAGTTCTTGAACAATAATTTTACACATGATTATGATTATGCTCAACAGATAAACCAAGATACAAAAAAAATTGTTAACCAAAATTTAGAAAGAAATGACAACAGTAAGTTTTTTTCTTGAGAAATAATAAATTGTCAAAAAATTTGAATTTTGTTTGTTACATTTTGATTGCACTAAATGTTATAAAAAATAAATGAAACAATAGGTTGTTATTACATGGGTTATAAAAAGGGTTCTAATCTCTTCACAAACAACCCAAAAAATCATGTTGAATTATATCTACTGGAGATGATTGCATTTAAAGATTTAGCAGAATTCCAAGTATCAAAAAAATTTTAGGACGGAAATCAAATAAACCAACATACTTTTGGTCTAATTAGGTTTTAATGAAGAATTTTTGTAATTCAATATACTAAAAAATTTAAATCACTTGACTACAGTTAATAGTGGCTAACAACTCATATAGGCAACATAGTAAGATATTGACAATGATTCTCGGTTTGCAAATACATCAGCATGTTATTTTTTATTATCTCAACTAGAATTCAAAAAAAAAAGAATCAAGGACACAATTTTGACTTTTTCTTCAGGAGCTGTAGTTTCAAACATTTCTGTTCTTTGCTTGGTTAAACTTGATGTTGGTAATTTTTTTGTTTATTTTGTAATGGAAGTTTCTGTTTCTAGGTTAATTGAAAATTTTAGCCATGCAAGATTTTTGCAATTCAAGTATGGTGATTTTTTAAATAAAAGGAAAGGCTACTGATGGCCTGGTCCTTAAAATTATCATATCTAATTGATGCTCTTCCATTGTAAATATTACAATTGAAATAATTCATATCACTAATGAAGATTACAAAATACTTCCAAACCAAGTTTTTTATACATTTTTTTCCATTACAGAAAAAAAAAAGTCTAACAAAATAACCAAGCTATTGATAGATAAAATATTATCCTTGTTCACTTCACAAATATTCATTAATCATTAGTCATTAATATTAATTTTTCACTTGAAATCACACAAATATCAATTGTTAAAAATGGTACTACAAAATTTTTTTTCTTTAAACAAAGGTTATTTAAAAAGGTTAAGTTATCAATTACAATTTCTTGATATTTTTAAAATCAAATGGATATTTGCTACAAACATTACTAGATAAAAAAAAAAAAATTTGATTATTTCGAGGTTAAAAATTTAATTTATTTTTATATATAATTTATTTATTTTTGTTACTGAAAAAATAATTTTTTATTAAAAAAAAAATCAATTTTTGGAAATTCCAAAGAAATTCGAAAGGCTACTTTTCTAAATTAAATAAAAATTGTTTAAATAAAAAAGTTTAAAGTTTTTAAATCATTTAAATTTTAAATAATTTTAAAATATTGATAATGACTTATCTTTTTTCTTTAACAATTTTGGTAAAATTTTGTAATGAGTATATATATATATATATATATATATATATATATATATATATATATATATATATATATATATATATACACACACCAGTAATAAAAGTAATTTTTTGGTAGACAGTGGTTAATTTATATACATATATATATATATATATATATATATATATATATATATATATATATATATATATATATATATATATATATTGTCATTGACAATAATTACAATAACAAAATAAAATAAAAAAAAGTTTACTTGACAGGGACTAAAATAAAGACTCTTATCACTAAGCCTCGAAAATACTTGCCTTTTTCCTTTTAACTGAAATATTGGTAATAAGTTACTTATCATTTTCTTTCATTTACTTCTGATTCTGATAGAACTTTTTTACCATTAATAATTTTGGTATTGAAACCAGATTTTTTTTGTCCTTGCTTTTCAAAAATTGTGCAATTCAAACCATTTCTGGCTGAAGTTATAATTGAGGTTTTTTAATTTGCTTTAGTGAGGAATGCTAATATAATAATGAACTTTTTTTTCAAGTTTAATTTACACTTTTGCGTGGTTTCCTTTAATGTCATTTTCTAAACTAAATGATTTTTATTTCCTCTTTTAAAACTAGTTCACTCCCAACAAGACTGCAATCAATCACTATTTAAGTTGAAGGCTGCAATCAATCACTATTTAAGTTTGGAGTTACCAGAAAATAAAGAATATTGTTAAAGAGAAAAAACAGAAGAATTAAAAAACTGTAAGTTGTATGAGTAAGGAAAACATGAAGATGGGTGAGAGTTCCAGAAGCATAAAAACGGGTGAGAGCTCCAAAGCATTGATGTACAAGAAAAGAAACTAGATGAATAAAACTTTAGAGCATGAATGGAACGATATAGCAAAAGGATGTAACTTAGCTGAATGACGAGTCAAGTAAAAATGAGTTTTTATCTGATGGAATTAGTTATGATAGCTAGTTTAAGCAGTGACCAGTGAGTTTAAGTGACCAATGCACAGTGGGCCAAACAGCTGTTTTCATGGACATTGGTTCATAACCTTTGAACGGAAGGTGCTATGGGGTCGATTTAAGACTTTTTGGAAAGTTTTTTATATATAAATTTTGGAAACACTGAAAATATTTTTGCTGCAGGATATTTAGGTCATAATTTAAAAGAACAAAATTTCATAAAATTTGCTTTTTTATAGGTTATAACAAAAATACGTACAAATGATTATAAATATGTATGTATAGTTTGTATTACAAAGATAACATAGGTACATCAATGGCAGTAACAATAAAAATTATCAATAGAAGTAATAAAAGTGCGTAATTGATTCATATATTAACCTTTTAAAATGTGTCATATCAAATAAAATGTTATTAGAGACATTTTGTTTATGAGAATATTTATCAGAATTTCTTCATTCATATCAAAATTTGCAGAATGGTTTTGACTTGCATCTCTTTTCAAAAAAAATTTGATCAGATCATATCAACATCCTGTTAATGGTGTCTGTTAAATTGACAACTTAAGAGATTTTTCTTGAGAGTCTAGTATGTATCTTAATATTTTGTTATTACCTTTTAATTCTGAATCATAAAGGTTTCACAAACCACTTTCCTCATTATTCAAAATTAGCTCCCAAGAATGACCGATCAATTTGTTAAGTAATGGTGTTATACTGATCAATTATCTAGGTAACAGGTAATAATCTAGGTAAAAATTTTTTTTTAACAGAAACTTGTTAAGTCTGTACAATAATTTTTACATAAATTTTTCTTTTTGAGGAAAATACTCTAAAAGTTATTGAGAGCATCAATTTGAACTTTTGAAATGTTGCATCATATTAAACAGGCAATTGTGCAACTAAATCTCTTTTTGATTTTTTGTGCAATAGTTCTCTAACTATATAACTTGTTGTTATTGCGTTGTGTGACTACCTGTATTTCTTGTTTTTTAATTGTATCAGGGTAGTCCCATTTTATACCTTTATTTTTAATATCTCTGTTTGCTATGAAGTTTCTGCTTGCTTCAGAAATCTATCTGAAGCAGTGAAAGGGGACTCAGACCTATCAAAAACACCAGCTTTCACATGAACAAAAGTTTTCTTGAAATGGTCAAATATACCCAGTAAAGCATGAGGAACCTATAAAAGTATTGGTAATTTTTAAATTTAATAATTTTTATATCAAGTATGTTCACATATTAAAAATATAGAATAATATGAACACTATTACAAAATACCAATTTACTTGTATTGGCTTTAAATCACAAATTGAAATTGGTTTGAAGGTTTGTACGGCCCTTGTGATATAATCGGGTTTTAAGTAAAGAAACATTAGTTTTTAGTTAAGAAACATCTTCTTGTTTAAGTTGGTTAAGTATTTCATTCATAGTTAAATATTTCATCCATAGATTGATTACAAAATCATTTTCAATTCTTTCAATATTCAAACACTGATCTTTTGAACATGTGCACATGATCACAATAAGCACCTCCTGAAAAAAGATTCGCTGCTTTCATACCCATCATATATGACTGTACTATCACCTTTACATTAAATTGTTTTTTCTCTTTATACATAAAAAAACCTTTATTTTTTAACTCTCCTATGTCAGAATTAAAGACAGACAGTGGTTGAAGAGTTTCTATTGATTCTTTTCCAATTGAAGACTCAGCTGGAGTGTGACTCAGCTGGAGTGTGACTCAGCTGGAGTGTGACTCAGCTGGAGTGTGACTCAGCACTTTGTGACTAAGTGGAGCATTTTGTGACTTTTGCAATCGTAAAAAAAACTTCAAGTGAAAACGGAGAAAACATTGTCAGTATGATATTGCTAGTGTTAAAATTATTTTTTTAATTAAATATTGCATGGTTTCCACTACCTTCAAATCTAAACTATATTTTTATTAGTATATTTTCAATATTTATATCTAAAAAAATGTTCTCAAATATCCTTTACATTGCCAGTTTAATAGTCTGAAATAAAAAATGTCAATATATAAGCAGTGCTAATGTTATAATTTTTTGGAGCCAAGTGCCTTAGCAATTACCAGTATACAACCTGTTATATTCGCAGAAATAGTTTGGTTGTTTTTTCCTCAGCAATAAAAATTTAAATGAGTCAAATTCAGCTTCATTGTTATTAAACTAAAGATATAAATATTTTTGTTGATTATATCAAATAACTTTTTAATAAAAACGATTAAAAATTAAAATAATATAATTCAAAATATAAAGGTAATAAGTAAAAATATTATATTATTACTATATACACCACCAAGGCCCCAGTTTTGATTTTAACTCTTGCAATCCAATCATTTTAAAACAGATTTCAATGCTGCAATGTTTTTTTATTAATGGTTGTACTAACTAGATTAAATTTAGTTCAATAGAAAAGAAAGCTAGGGGGTGTGAGCCGAGGTGTTGATCAAAAATTGGGTCTTAATTCTTTTTTTAATTTCTAGAAATATAAAAATAATTTTGTGCAATAATCTATGAAGTTAAGATTGACATTTCCACAAACTGCAGTATAAGATTGTTTCTACATACAATCATCACATTAGCACTGCTTATATAGTGACATTTTTTCTTATAGTATATTTCCTGAACAATTCATGCTTTTGAATTAATTTTTTTTTAATGAACTGAAAATTTATTTCGCTTTCAATAACAACTAACTTAAATTTATTTT